CCCTTACTCTTCGGTGATGATTAAGTAATCATCTTCAATGTATGATCAAAATATAAATGCAGTTTAATTTTTTCTCCCATTGCAAACCTATCAGTTTTTGTTTATATTATTGTTTAAAATTGTGTTATATTCTTTAATCATAAATAAAATCTAAATAAGATTTATTTTTAAGGGCATTGTGATGAATTAGCAGATGGGGATAAATTACTTGCAAAACTATTTTCACGTATTATTTCAATGCCTGTTCAACTTGAATATCTTTCTATTGAAAGATTCGAATGGTTTTTATATATTATTCAATATGTAAGTGTTGATTTTATTTTGAATTTTCAAATATATTTTTATATTTCATCATTTTTTTCCCTTTCAATCTGTATATTGAATCAATCAATCCGATAAGAAAATCTCCGAAAATTTCTTCATCTTATCTCTTACAGTTTTTCGACTATCAGACAATTATACAGAAAAACTTGTGCTCTAAGTAACGATCGGCAAAGTCGTCCCGGGATCGAGACCTCGGTCATTGTTTTTCTGTCAAAAATTCGACTATAATTTTTCATATTTTTTTATTTTTTCTCGACTAAAAGTCTTCAAAATCGTCTATTTTTATAAATAATTTCGGTAAAATTTCTTTATTGAACCATAATGTCGTGTCCAATAGTCTAATTCTTTCAATATTTTGTATGACTTTTTGATTATATGAAACATAGCATACATACATTTCGTTCGATTGAACTTCCAGTATTTATTTATATTCTTTTACTATTTCTTACTATAGGTATTGATTCTTGAGTTTTGTTGTTTTACCCAAATGTATTCGAAAATTAATTTGATACTTGTTGGGAATAAAGAAATTAATAGAAAAATTAGGATATTTTGCAAAAAGTTTTCCGGAATTAAATCTGAAAATAGTATTTTTGATCCAGTAGACTCTGAACTTTGATGCATTCAGATGGAATCTCCAAATAACACCGGTTTAAAATTACTCTATTGATTATTAAAAGAATGTTTGTTGATTTTAGAAACAAAATGTGCACTGATGAGATGTTGGTCAAAGTCAATAAAAAAATTTCAGTAGGATCAGGACCGATCGGAACCAGGAAAAAGTCCTTTTGCCGATCTCTAGCTCTAAGATGATCTTATATGAAATTTTATGAAAAGATTTTTTTAAACAAGAATATTGATTGAATAATTAGAAAATTGATTTGATTTAAAAATAGATTCATTGAACTCTAATTTATTCTAACTTGACGTTTTTTTTTGTTATAGGTGTTTACTTAAAAAAAATCGGAGTATCAAAGTACTAGTTAGGAAATAAGATTCTTCTAGGAGAATATATCTCAAACTTCAAGAGATATAATAGTGAGTTTTATAGTAAATGAAAGATCATCGAAGGCAGAATTTATGGATATAATTGATCACTCATAAGATGAGAATGTCATATACAATTACGATAAGTTTGAAAGTTTTAAGGATCAATTATTGGTTTCTCTTACAATAGTCGATCACAAATAGATGCTGTTCATAGAAAACTTCTTTGTCTATTCGATGTATCAGAGCTCTCTTTGTTGATTATTTTGGTAAGAAAAGTTTTAAATTTGACCTATAAATAACGATTCTCAGGCAGAGAGTTGAGCAAGGCAAGTGTTTTTCAAGTTATAAGTCAGGTCAAATTAATCTAAAAGTTCTTCAAATCAAGTCAGATTTGACTTGGCTTGAGGTATTTTTAACTTGATCTATTCAGCTCAGTGCTTAGGTCAAAATATTTATAAATGTTTTAAGTATATCAAACAAAGCAGTGTGAGATTTTCAATAATTTGATCCGAGCATCGTCATTTATTGATGAAACTCAAAAACTTTTTTTAACCAAAATGATTAACAAAAAGAATTCTACAACATCGAGTAGACAAAGAAATTTTCTGATAACATCATCTTTTTGTGACTGACTATCCTAAAAGTGAACAATATTTCTAGTCCTAAAATTTTCAAACTTATTATAATTCAGTATCACTCATCTGACGAATAATCAGTTACATTCCTAAATTCTGTTTTTGACGAGCTTTTATTTCGTATAAAACAAACTCACTGTTATATTTCTAGAGGTTTGTGATATACTTGTTATCCAAAAATCTTATTTTCACTATCTGACAGATAACAAGAAAATAAATTTAAATAGTTTTATGTAGTGGCGTAACTAGGATTTTGACGGTGGTAGGGCTTAGCGTCGCTTAAATGTCTGGTAATTGGGCTCAGGCGAATGAGGTCTGTGAGATAGTAGGGCTGTTAAGAGAATTTAGCTGACGAAGTTGACACCGGTCGTTGGGCGGAGCTCAACCTAGCCCTACCCTCGTTATGCCACTAGTTTTATGAATTTAAATGGAATTATTTTGACATATCATTTTAGGGTCTTAATGAATTACGAGAGAATGCATTAAAGAGTGCTTTTGCATGTCTCGCATCTCCCTTTGCGTCTCCTGCATCCACGATTTCCTGGATATGAGACATTTCTTTTCTTTTCCGATAAAGAATGGACTGATGCTTTATTAGAAATCGATAAATATTTTATCGTTATCTGTGTTTGGTAACGTAAAAATCTATTAGAAAGAGTTGAAAAGATTCAAAAATAAATTATATAGTCATTTAAATTAGGTGAACTCAATGACAACACCAACATGTTTTGGTATAATAGTCAGACTTGTCAATTGTTCACCTGAATTAACTTTTGATCTATCATTGACAAATGTTACCTGTTGCATCATCCTCGCTACAATCACTTTGAGTTCAAATCGAGCTAAATCTTGTCCAATACACTGATGATGGCCACTACCAAATGGAATCAATGCATATGGATGGTGATTCTTGCCCTCACCTAAAAATCTCTCTCGATAAAAGAGTTTAGGATCAATTGACCAGTATCGAGTATCTTGTGCTAGATTGTAAAATGGGATGAATACAGAATCACCTTTGTACAGTTGAGTACCACTTTCAGAAAGACGATGGTCAATGGTCAACGTACAAAAGGTTCTATAAGCGGGTGGAGAAAAGCGAAGCGTTTCATTTGATAACAAAATCCAAATAGACTAAAGAATCGAGCCAATCCAGTGTCAAATATTGTTTTTCAGCCCCGCTCATCAGTTCTTCCTTGATCTTTTGTTGTACGTGTTGATATTTACTCATAAAATGAATGAACCAAGTCAGAGCAGTAGATGTTGTTTCATAATCAGCAATCGTGAAAGCTAACATCTCTAGCAATACTTCTGTTCGTGAGAGACCTATTCAGAAATTCAGATAATGCAGTACCTTAGAATACCTTGACGAGCACACACTCGATATAGAATGTTAATAGAGTTCTCTAAGAATGGACAGAATTTTTCATGTAGATCGACAACTTTTGATAAGGTAATTATGAATCGAACAGTTTTAGTCGTACTCAAAACTCTGTAGAGATTATTCCTATATTGAAGTTTTTGGAAAAAATGGAAGTCAAAAAATGATCTTATACGAACGCATCCTTAACAATGTTGATCATTTTCGATTTGAAAATTATCACTCTGACTCCATTTGAGAACTAAAACAAATAAGTAAAAGCCTGTTCTTACATGAATACGAGCAATATATGCTCTTACGACTCTAACCATACAAAAACATTGAATTGAAATATTTCCCATGCTCTGCAAAACTGGTTAGGGCACAAATTTGTTGGCGCATCACTTCTTTCTCCGAGCAGGGCTGAATAGAAAAAACACCCTGATGATATCTCTGGTTTTTTAGTCTTTCTTCATGAGAACTATCTCCTGAACTCTATTTTAAAACTGAAAAATAAAAGAAAAAACTATTTTAACGTGAGTATGACAGATATGGTTTTTTTAAAATCCTAATCATAAAACATATTAAAATATTCTGTTTGTTTTTCAGGGCATGGCAAAACACAAATTTTTTTATATACCATTTTTTCCCAGGGCAGAGCAGGGCAGGAAGAAAAAATGTGCCCTGTGGACATCATCTCTGGAAGCAACACTTGTAAATTGAAAAGTTCAATATTTTAACGGTTTCATATAAACAATAAGAATGAATAAAACATTCTTTATATTACATCAATTTTAATTATAGATTTTAATGGAAAAAATAGCATTCAATTACAAATTAACTTTTATTTTATTTCTAATTTAGGCAAAAAATAAAAAATAATATCGCCTATTCATATGCAAAAGCATCTGTAATATATTACTTAATTCATGAGATATTTTAATAAGAATTTTTCGCTCGACAGGGTGCTCATTTTATCTATTGCTTTCGTTTCTTTAACTGTGAACATATGCATACAAATATCGGAAAAATAGATTGACACTGAGCGCCCTCTTTCAATTTATAGAGGTGAAGTATCATTTATATTCAATGGCGAAAGTGTGTGCGAATATTATCTTAATCGAACAAAGAATGACATTGTATGAATGAAGGAAAGACACAATAGACTTCTAGGCATGAATGTTATTATCTTTATAGATAATATCTAATTCTCAAACAAATATGAGCCGAGTAATATATTCGTTTTCGAATGTCAAATTACAGAGTAAGTTTATAAATAATTCATATTGTTCATAAACATCTTATTCATTCTAGAAAGAAAATCGATTAATTCAATTGAACAATTATCAAATGAAATGTTTTATGAAATTTTTGATTATCTTCTTTGTCAAGATATTTATAAAGCATTTTCAAATCTGAATAATCGTTTTGAAAATCTTCTCTTTAATTCATCATATCTTCTAACAATTCGATTTTCTTCTGAATCAGAATCAATATTCGACGATCGTTATAAACATCTCATCAATTCAAATAAATATCAGATTATTTCACTTCATTCTGATAATCAATCACTTATTAATAAATTCAACATATTATATACCATTGATTCATCATTCAATCACCTTCAATCAATTATTCTTCATGAAATCGCAACATTTCAATTGATGAAGCTTCTCTTTCGTTTAAAATCTTTACCACGTCTCTTCTCTCTCACTGTTTTTCTTGATCATTGCGATGATGATCTTGGTGATATTTATCGAGTTGTTTTTCATATATCATACTTAAAATATTTTAAATTGAATATATCAGACTATCAAGAATTAAATCTTAACATACCAATTGCTACAAATGAACAATTTTCTTCTATTGAATATTTAGTTATTTATCATCGTTTGACTCTTAATGAACTAACTAATTTACTTTCTCATACACCTCGACTTACTCATTTGTGTTGTTTTAATGTAACTGAATCAGAAGATGATATTAAATTAGAGACATTAATGAAATTAAATAATTTACGACATTTAACTATATCTATAAATCATCTTAGTTTTGATAAATTTGAAACATTTCTTGTAAAATTACCTTCTCAATTAAGAATATTAAGTGTTACAATTAATTGTTTAGACAAGAATTATTTAAATGGAGCTCGATTGGAATATATAATATCACAACATATACCTTATTTAAATAAACTTATCTTTTGTTATACTGATATTATTGATAATGATTTTGAAATCAAACCTTGTCATGCATTGGTCAATCATTTTACATCATCATTTTATCTTAAAAGACAATGGATATTTAGAATCTTTATTAACAATGATAAAATAATCTATTTAATACGTTCTTCAAGGTACATTTGAAAAGTAGTTCTTTATCTTAATAAATATTTTTATCGGTTTTTTTCAGAAATTTATATAATGATTTTCAAGAATTTATAAATCTTACTAGTTCTTCAATTTATCCTCTTCGTGGTGCCCATATTAGCATCAGGAGTAATCTTCATACCAAAGAAAATGAACCATTTATTAACAAAATTATTCCTTTATTTGAAATGTTAAATGTTACTCGTTTAAATATCGACTGCAGTCAAATAGTTCCTAATATTTTTTTAAAAATCCTAAGTTTATTGCCGAATCTTGATTCAATGAGAATAATATCATTCCCACCATCTGAAAAATTATTACTAATTAATGAAAGTTCAAAAATGTTTTATCTCTTCTTAGGGAATAATAAAATAACTAAATTGTCTCTTAGAGATATACCTAGCTTCGAACAAATGTTTCTTATTATGAATCTTTTTTCACATATCAAATTTATCGAATTACAACAGATTAGTAACTCTAATGTTGAACTAATCATTCGATGTGCTTTATGGAAAATTCAGATAACAAATAATAATCATATTAAAACACTTTGTGTCAATGTTGATGAAGGATCTCATAATGAACTTGAAAAATTACAGAAAATGATCATTTCAGAAAACTTACTTGAGGATTATATAATATATCGTCGACATAATAAATATTATTTAAAATGGAAATAATAATTGCTTTTGTTTTGTACTTTGTTTTGAATAAAATCATTGATAAAATCGCTTTCACATTATTTAACATTCATTGAATTGATCACTACTAGTTGAGATCGAACAGAGTTTCCATATCCTTTCAAAAAACAACGAAAATTGAAGATTTCATAAATCAATAGTGAAGCGATGGAAGACAAGAAAATACATGAATATTTCCAGTATTATTTATAGCAGTTTCATTCTTTATTACATTTGCTTTGTAATTTTATATACTAATTTAAATTGGATCAATGCAGTAGTTTGCAATCGAACCGTATCCATTTTTAATAGGGAAGTAGATATACTACGTACATCTTCAACAAAAATATCATTATGTACAGTAGTTAGTGCTGTTATAAATTGTGATGATTTCGAATAAATAATCTTTAATCAACTTGTCGGATAAACTGAATTTAATAATATACCATAACTTCATTTATGAAAAACATCGTGAACAGTCTAAGCCTATGTCATATATTTTCGAGTTACGAAATTCGTATTGGTTTAAGTATGCACTAGTCCAATCTTGTCGGCATCTAATTGACCAGTCGAGACTGGGACTGGTACATACTTATATGGACTGTGGACGTTACCTATTCTCATTTCATTCTAGTTTAAGCAATTTTAACGCTGATGTTGACGCTGACCTAAATTATTTTCAGGCATTCGACTCTTATGAGGGCCGAAATTCGGGTCAGGATACTTTTGCTTAGTAGTGTAGAAAGAGATGATTTATTTATCAGATGAAATTAAAAATAAGTATAACAATAAGCAAGAGAATCAAAGCATTATATTTGATAATTATTGTTTGAATCAAAGTGGCAGAATAATGATTAACTTTTGTTATTGTATTAATTCGCGACGAAATTCATGTTGAGGGTGGGTGTGGGTGTGAATGAAAAGAAGAAACACACCCACACCACACCACACCCATCCACACCGACATCCACACCCACCCACATCCCACACCCCACACCCACCCTACAACAACTGACATGTAACAACGAGATGCTAAAAGAAATCTGTAGCATTAGAGCTGTCGTAGCGTTAGCCCTAAGGCTTTAGGCAATTTTATAGAACTCGGTCTAGCTTCATTTATACACAGATATCAT